AAAACGCGGGAAATATTTGTTAGTTTACTATTATTTTTTACCAAGGCGTAACGCTTCGGATGCTTTGCAGTTATGGTCAAGGGGGGACTGAAGGTGATCCTTTATGTCAAAGATAAATCTGCTACGAATTTCGAGAAATAATGGCGCTATGCCTCTTATTTCTCGAAACTCGTTACGTATAAGAGATATTATTTACGCACGACGAGACGAGAGATATTATTTTACGAAATCCAGCGATTAATTAAAAATTATTAAATTTTGTGTTTTATCTAAACACACAATATACATTAATGAGAAATACTTTATTATACATAATAATCTAAGTAGTTCATTTTGCATGTAACAAGATCTAACCTATATAAAAAAGGTTAACTATAGGCAGCTGTATAACCTCTAAACACTGTCGACCTTGGATATTCGGAAATCCACAGACAACCGAAACGCGACTAAACTTTCTGTGGATAGTGGTTCCTGACCCGGACGGATTTTTGATATTCCTACCAACGCATTTAATATCCAGATTTCCAGACTTGATATCTTAGAAGTTAAAATTGCAAGTTTTCTCTCATTCTTCTCGACTTTTACTCTTTTATTGATAATATATTGCCCTTTTATCTATACAAATGTGATTGGACGAAATCGCCATAGGCGATAAGGCCGCTTTTTCACTTAGTCTTTAATGAACATAATTAATTTAGTATTACTATATTTGTAATGTATTTTTTTAGCTTAGTTTTCATTGTTATTACACTTAGGAGAAAACACAGATGCAAAGAACGCTGTCAAGATTTTCAAAGCTAAATAAATTTCCTTCCACCTTAACACTTCTAAGAATAAAATACGACTTGACGTCTAACTGCTATCAACGCCGACCAGCGAGTTATCTTGCGAATTATTTCTCTTGTGACGTTAAAATAAAATTCCACAAAGCGGTCCCCAACAACAGAAGTGGCGGGAAGAAGTTAATAAATTATTTATTAGGCTTATCTGTGGCCACAGGATTCTTTCGGTTTAAATAACTTATTTATTCAGCCCTATTGCGTTACTGTCACAGATGGATTTTAATTCTGATTTTTACTTTAAATGTTTTGATTTATCGTGGTTTAATATAATACAATGGTATTATAATACCTCCAATTTCTAATTTCCCCTCTACGGAGACTGTTTCACGGGCTCCTTGGTGCGGTTGGTTTATTGGTTGGTGTGTGGTATGGCTAATAATCAACGAGTCATGGGTTCGTTCCCCACCGGGACCATTTATAGTCCATTTATATTTTTTATGAAATAAGTTGGACTTCATCCTGAAATTATTTTTCAGACTGAGTCTAATATGTTTCAGAAACATCATATGTTTTATTTAGAAACTAGCTGTGCCCGCGACTTTGTCCGCGTGGAAGAGGGACTTGGGGTAGAATTTTTAATTATTTGGGCTGTTTATTAATTTATGTATGCATTTAAAGCAGCCAATCTATGTTGTTAGCTACATTGCCGCAACACTCTCACCTCACATTACTCCTACTCTAAATCCCACTCTCATTCCTACACTCACTCCCACTCCCACTCCTATTCCCAAAAATCCAAAGAAGAAAGTTTCATTGTTCTAGCTTCAAAAACCACGAATTTTCATACAAACTTTCATCCCCTTTTTCAACCCCTATCATCCCTGGTATTAAAAAAGAAATAGGTTGTTAAGAACATTATAGGGCCGACGAGCTCGTCAAATTGCTTGTAAGACACATCCACCTTCCTTCTCCTCCGTTCTTTACATCATGTAAAAGTAAAAACTTTTAACATTATTCTTTAATTTAAACTAGTGTATTGCAAAAAACCAACATTCTAGCCGAGAACACTTTCAAGAATTGTCCTGCACTTTATTCGAGTCATACAAAAGAACTTGTGGTGGAATTGCAAGGGTAAAGTACCTATTTCTTTTGTGGGAGCCGTTTTAATGAACTTTTAATTAGTACTCGGTGAGTTTGGTCCAGTTCTCGAATAAGCGCTTTAATTAGAATACGAAACTACAGACTTTTAGAATACCGTATACAGGGCTGGGCGTTTGCATACAGTTTATGAGAAACAAAACAGACAATTGATTATGGCGATCTTTCAATTGTTCTTTATAAGACGTCGTATTTAAATTGATTGTTTAAATAAAACACGTTAACGGGCAAAGTGGTAACGGCTGCAATAAAGCATCTAAAACGTCGGGCCGGAAAAACTGGAAAGCATCCGAAACGTCCGGTCGTAGTTAAAATAATCTTTAACTAATATATATCGCGTTTTAAACCGTTAAAGTGTTTTATTTAAATGTGTACTACAGGCGTAAAATACAGACAACATTTATTGTTTTTCTGGCGATACCCTTTATGTATCTAGCTAATAATCTTTTTGGCTACTGTCTATATAGGTATATAACAGAAATTGTTCAGAGATCGCACAATAAAACTTAAGTTAATGTGAGAAAATGTATTATACCATACAACGTAGCTGTTAAAACTAAGTGCCTAATATTAAGCGGAACTAATTCACTTGTTTATTTTCAAATTTGGAAAGTTATTGTGCCACACACGCCAGATGAAACTGGAATTGTGGCTCGCCCTTCGCCCCGAGCATTCGCCCCAGTTCTAAAATCCCACTGAATTTAAGTTAATGTTGAACTTGTATAAAAGTGAATGCTTATTCGCTCCGACATTGTTTAAAGTTTAAAACTAGCTGCCGAGAGCAAAGACAGAATTTTCTTACAATTAAAGATGAATTCTTTGTATTGTTACTTTGCACTCTATTGTCTATAGCGTTTTAAATAATATTTTTCAAATGGAATGCAAGATTTTTATGAATGTTTTTTTTAACATTTATGTTTATACCAAATACATTATATATTAAGTAGTGTCTATATTTTACGAGCAGTACACATTTTAATAAAAAAAATCTTTTAAAAGTTTAAAACGAACATCGTGTCTCTAATGTAAATACTGCTACGGCAGAACAGATGGCGCTAGCGTAGCTCTTTTTGACACCTTCATATTCAGTCCACCTGTGACCACGGCTTCTGTAAAATGGAATTGATACATTTTGCGTTTTAAACCAATAAAGTGTTTGATATCTATATTTATACTAATATATAAGCTGAAGAGTTTGTTTGTTTGTTTGAACGCACTAATCTCAGAAACTACGAATTCGAATTGAAAAAGTTCTTTTGTGTTGGTTAGAGCATTTATCGAGGAAAGCTATAGGCTATAAATTGCCTCGCGCTGTGACCTTGAAGATACCTGAAAAATGATATCTCTTTAAATGATCTAAAAAACGTCCGCGACACTATATCGCGCGATGCGATCGACGTCGTTTGCTGACGGGGTTTGCAAAAACTAATTTGGATGCCCAAAATAACGATTGTCGCGGACGAAGTCGCTGGCACAGCTAGTAAATGTTATATTCACAGAACTTCAGCTCTTGGTTGTGGTTGCGTTGCGTTACACAAAGTCTTTGGGTGGTATTTTGAAAAGGGAATTATTACATCAATTTTAATACTTTCTAATACTACCAATCACTACGCTTTCCCAACTAGAAAAATAAAGGATCACTTCTAATAGCCCCGATTTATCGGACAGACTTGTTTATAAGAAATGCAAGTCAATGTCTATAACCTCGTACGTGTCTTGTAATCCTTTAGTAAAACTCCCAACAGAAAATACGACCATATCGTAAATAGAGGATTAGGAACCTCCGGGAAGTGTTTACTGGAGGCAAATATGTGCTAACTGGAAAGCGAATAAAGCTTTTATATTTATTTATAGTGAACTAACAAAACCAAAACTATACTCGTACAGACAGTAAAATAAAATGAACAAGCTATAAGTCGAAGTAACCTTTAACGGGGTCTAAAGAAATCAAAATAAACATGTAAAAAAATTATAATTGAAATATAAAAAGACTAAATATGAAATGGAAAATATGAAATAAAACATTCGAATTAAGAGTTCTGCACCATCAAATACGTTTACTGTATTTAAGCGTAATGAAACATGTTTTTTTATGTATAGTCTGTAGTTAACTAAAACACTTTTAACAGTTTGATAAACAAAATATATTAGTTAATTTATTTCAACGTTTCTGATACGCTGCGACAGCCGTGGTCACGGGGGACATAGTTAAAGTCTCAATCAGTTAATTAATGCACTTGGCGTTTTAAACTGAAAAAACCGATTAATTCATTTTTGAAAACTAATAATTTTTCACATGTTATTGATTGTATTGTATTGTGTATTTTGCACATGAAGGCACTATATGATTAAAAAATCGAAAATAAATTGAAGCGATGCCGGTTCAAGTCCTGCCCGAGTCGAAAATTACTTCAATTTATTTTCGGTTTTTAAATAAATTCATTTTTTTATTGTGTATGTGTTACAATAGCGGCCATACATGCCTAATGCATGCGATTCTAACAAACAAACAAAGGATGACATTAAAATACAAAATTATATTTGTTTATCATTACATTTTTCTTAACCTATAAAACTTTTAATAGACACTACAATTATCAAAAAGTGGATTTTAGATGATCTGTGGCATTTAAGGCTAGTTCTGACTTTTACTCCGTAGAATAATTAAATAATATTTTCGTATGTCTAATGTACACAGTCTTTGTCAATATATGTGACGTTCAATACTAATGAATGACATTGTAATTAAAACAATACAGATGAATATTTGACTCAAACAAATCAATTAATTCCATTGTTTCGAATTGTTTTAACAAAATTAATACAAGTATATCTGTGTCACTTGGTTATGATATCAAACCGAAATGTAAGCCTTATATGAAGGTACTAAGAGCCATGTGCATTTTAGTATATGTAGATGGAGTTTGTAAAATATTTGCAGTTTTTTGTTTGCACAAATGGGTTTAATCTGTGGGGTATTATTGTGTGGATATATATAGGGGTGGTGTTCCGTTTACATGTGTATAGTATATACCGTTTGGTCCTTTCAAGACCAGCAACATGCTGCCTTTTGTGTTGGTACTCCTCGCCGCGCAGGTAAGAATTTTTCAATTTGTTTTAGTGGAAATTTATATGTTTAATTAGCTATTTTTATGTTACGTACAAATTCTTCTTGGATATTTTCATATATTTACGCTAATACAAAATGATGAAAACTCGTTAAAAGATGGCAACGTTACTTCTAAATATAAAAATATTTATTGTAGCTAGACTTAGGTATTTTCAAATTTTAACGCAATTATAAACTTGTTACTTCCCTTAGAAAATCAACTCTACGAGAAGAATTAATCATTTTTGACTTCAAACAGTAAACTAAAAAGAAAAAATAATCATTTCGCACAAAGTATTTAGGTACCAATTCGATTTTGTTAAATATAAATATTTTTTAAATATAATTTCGAAGCCAATTCCAAGTAAATGTTTGAGCAACCTTACTAAGTAGAGATTATTATGAAATCAACACAAAAAAATCTACAAAATCGGTTTATAAACGACGCATAATCATAACAAAACAAAATAACAAAAAGGCATAGATACGAATCGAATAGAGAGCCCTTTTTTGAAGTCGGTTAAAAAAGAAAAAAACAGACGTAAAATGCCAATAAAACCGATATAAAGCACTAAAGATGCGTTAAACTATGTAAATATGCAATAAATATGATAAAAGAAGTATGTAACACGAAAATGTAAATGTTAGACGAATATATACATAATAATATGTAATAACGCGTTACTGACAAGCGTTGATTTACATGAAAATATGTTCCCGAGATCCCGTTTCCACTCTCAGCTAGCAAGCCTCGCGGGATATCCACGATCCCGTATAGAAATCACTCTGCAAGTGACGGCATCTTAAAAGTTGGGGTGGCTGTGATTCTACCTATGAATGGGACAAATAGTTTTTTGACACGCGATTTTAAACCCTAACGCGCGATATATAGTAGTGTAGTATAGCAGTATTGTCTATAATTTACGCGAGTTGTACAAATTATATTAGTCTGACGTTCCTCCGTGACCATAGCTGCTGTAAAACATCAGAAACGTGGAGCCGTAGGTATAATATTTTGTAAATAACGTCATTTTGTAAATAATACATTTCCCGTTTTATACCGTTAAAAGTTTTTTTTTAACTGCAATTATTACAACAATTATATTCTTTAACGTTATCTATATTCACATTTGATTATTTAATTTTTTTAAATATATTTCTTATCAAACACTAGTTTAAATTGATGTACTATTCATTATTATACTATACATGTATTATTATTTATTTACTAAATTATTAACTATTCTAGAGTTATAATAGTCCTTTGGGCCCTTTTCCCCAATTTTTTACAGAATATTGTTTAATGTCCGAATTACAGTCCACAGTATAAGATTGGTTTATCTGCGTAATATTTAATATTCTTATTTCGAAAGTATAGGTGTGTTAGTAAATCATGGTCACACCAATTCTAGTTTTCCACCTACGCAAGACTTCAGATATTCCTTTGTTGTTCAAGTATTAAAGGACTCTACAATTATACCATTTCTTAACTATAATAAAACTGTAATTGCTTTTCTAGTAGTTCTTTAAGAATACTTTTCTTTGCTTGTTTTGTATTCGTTTTAGTGTTTTATGACTTGTTTCAGGATGTTTCATGTTTGCGAGAAAATAAGTAAATTTTATCTGTATGAATTGGTAAGATTAAAGAGCAATAAAATGTATTTAAAGAATTATCGTTATTTAGTCAAATCAGAGCCATGCTTTGCTTTTTATAAAGACTACATTTTTTTAATGAATTCAAAATTCTTATACATATATTTTGAAGAAAAAAGAAATATTTTTTTTTACTACTATGATCCTTCTTACTATAATTAATTATAACAATATGGTGCAAGTTGGTTGAATAGGATCTTACTCAGCTTATACAAGTGATAATGAAAAAAAAAAATGTTGTGGAAATAAATAAAAATACTTCCCAAAACATTTTTTCCAGTTTTGAACATAAGCTTTTAAATTTGAAATAATAATATTCATAATTTGAATTTAGAACAAGGTAAATTGTCACTCGACAAAGTGACAGTTCTAACCCAAGACTGAAAAACATGCCGTATGTTTTCACCATAGTCTGTAAATGTTATTTTTCTTTTTTTATCGCCTAATAAGGTATATGCCAGTGAACGATACCCGCAAAGCGTATGATACGCCAAATCGCACGTTTTGCTCGAACCGTATTACGTGTCAATCAAGGGTAATGCCAGAATCGAGTGCTTATTGCTTTCGCGTTTGAATCCGAATACCCCGGATTATTATAGCGAAGGCTTGTTAACTACAGATGTTTGATGGAAATCGTTCTGTTGTGGTTTGAGCTCTGTAATTATAGCCCAATGTTATGGATTTGGATTTTGGTTGGTTTGCTTGTGTACCGGGAATTTTAATGAAGATATATGTGGACTAAGTCTATAAATCTATGTTAGATTGAGAAAATTATGACTCGGGCGGGAATCGAACCCAATGGATCGTTTCGTCATAGTTTCGATAATTTTTAATTTAGATTACAAAAATTATTAGTTAGGTCAGTCGTAGGCTCTGGTCCTTTCCGTGTTTAAATTTCATACGTACATACGCTATCGTAAGTTTTTAAAATGATAACAAAACGTTTAAAATTTTAAATATAGAACAAGTGTTTTTGTAAATAAAAAAATTGTAAATTATTAAATTAAAAAAAAACAAGATTTGATGCCTTAAAACCGGCACTAACATTTTACCCAGAATATTTCTTTAATTTACCAAAAATATACTTATTGTACAATAAAATGAGCAGGTAGCATTGTTCAATAAAGAGAATAGATAGATACTGATAGGTATATAGTCAAATGCATTGATATACATTTTATATCTAGAAGATGTTCGAGATATGGTATATTACTAAATGAAATATCCTTTCTCCAAAAACATTCTCTATTTTAGCAATACTAAATGTATTTTTAATGGTATTTATGGTTTTAAATGGAAATATAGTAAACGTATTTTTATTTTTTATTCGCAGAGCGCTTTCGGCGCACCTTCTACTGCTAGTGTATCGTTCTACAACGTTAACGAAATCCCCTCTGTTCCTGACAATGGCGGTCTAGTTAACAGGTAAAGTGTTTATGAACGCCTGTTTCCTTAATGTGGGTATGGGACGGTTGCATTTCTGGGTCTATTGTACTGATCGATTTTAAAGGCGAGATTACTTTTGTGTCTAAGTTATGTTTTAATTACGTCATGACCTTTAAGCTAAAGTCTGACGTAATTCAAACATACCTGAATATAAAGACGAAGAAAACTTAGACTTAGGATATATGGAAGAATATTTGATTTCCTTCCTTTCTTAGTAACCTGTAGTTTACGCGGTAGTAAATATTTCAACAAAAACCTTTTAACGGTTGGCGATAAATTGGTAAGCAGATGGCGCTTGCGTAGAATTTTTGATTTACCCTCCATCTTAAGTACACTTGTTAACACGGCTGCTGCAAATCATCCGAAACGTTGAGCCGTAGTACAAGTTAATTGTGAATAAGTCAAACAATATATTTCGTTTTAAACTGTTTAAAGGGTTTTATGAAATAAACCTTTTTATGTATGGCGTAATCGTAATAAACATAATCAGCAATAAATAATTTTGTCTAGTTAATGAAATCTTTTCCAGTTTCCTAATCTCCGGCCCCTTGGATTACATCGATGGAGGCGACATTTCTCTCTACGCCCAAATGGCCATCCAGATCTTGAGCGACAAGGCCAACAGCGCAGACCCAGTTAGCAAAGCTTCAGCAGTCATTGAAGCCATCGCTGCTTTGGGAGAAATCTCTCACGGTATCCCCGGGGACTCTTGCGAGGCCGCTGCTGTAAGTTGCCGCTTGGGAAATTACGTCCACTATGACAAAATCCACAATTTACTTTATCAATAAGATCTTTAATATGTTAAATTTAAGGACTATTCATTTTTGTTGCAACTATAAATTTTATCTAAATCTTAGGTTTGGCAATACCTTTGTATATCTATTATACATATAAATCTTATTATTAATCTACACTTTAATAAAGCAGTAGCAATAGATATGATAAATACATTACTGAAACTTGAGTAAAGATTTATTGTGCTTAAGAGTTGCTTTTCCTTCAAAATACTGATCCAAACCTCGGTAGAGTAAATAAATTTACAATTTAACTTTACAAACAATATCAAGAAGTAAACAAACATTAAATGCGACAATTTAGTTGCCTCTGAAAATGAAACCACTCAGCAACGTTGGGACTGATATCCCAACACTGATATTATGTGGCAAGCAAGGTCTGATACGGACCCTGGACCTTTTGATTTGAAAACGAGTGTACCAACGAGGTTGTGTTTTACTGCCCTAACACGTTTTTGTTTGCAGCTCAGCAACGCGTTCGCATACTCAGTCGGTTCCGGTAACAACGGTGGACTTCGTCAGGCTATTGCCAATTACGTCTCACACTTGTCAAGCAACATTGACGCCATCTCTCAACTTATCGTCAACCCTAACGCCGTCCGTTACTCAGTAAGTATTTAAGCTAAACAGAAGAAGAAGATGTATATTTTCCTTGCAAAAATTGATACAGAAATTAGGGATTCCAAAAAGTAATGTGTTTTTTAAAGCATTATAATCAAACAAATAATTAAAGCCACTAATAATAACCACTAAATACCGTCATCGTTTTAAAATCTTTTCTTAAAGTATATTTAAATAATACACTTTCACGGATATAATAGTAGACTATTATATCGCGTTTTAAACCGTTAAAGTGTTTTATTTAAATGTGTACTCGCGTAAACTATAGACAGTATTTAAAGTATATTTTCAATTTATATAAGCGACAAATAAAATTGCTTTGGCAAAATTACTACTTAAGAAGTATACTTCCTACAGATTCTGTTCTTTTAGAGCTAGCTATAAAAGCTATGTATTAGTTTTATCTTTTTAATTACGAAAGAGATGCAAATCTCAACTATTTAATAATTATGCTACATTTGCTGTAAAATCCGATGTAAGCAATCACTCTTAAGAACTACCCTCAAAATTGAATTCGTGTTGCCACAAAATATCGTTGCAATGTGCTATAAATTTGAATTTCAAAACTACTACCCGATACAGCAAGTGCCAAACGCCCAATGCTATTGTGTTTGGAATAGATCCCATGAGTTGCAACATACAAGGAATGCATTTATCATCCATTGATCGTGTCATGATCACGTCTGGTTATTGTTATTAATGGTTGCACTATGAAGACTAATTGATGGCTGTCTGCGGACACTAACGGTTGTAAAGAATTGTGTCTTTTGTGAGGAATACAATGCTTTGTACTCTATTAAGCAGTTTAAAATGGGTGCAAATTGGAAATGAAAGTGAATAAGTACTTTCAAATTTTAAAGGCATTTAAATATAACACTTTAACGGTTTAAAACGCGATATATATTAGTTAAACTGTTTTGAAAATTATTTTAACTACGGCCCGCCGTTTCGGATGCTTTGAATTGTGCTGTAATGTGTTATAATAATTTTCAAATAAATTTAACCAATTATAACCAATAAAATCGCGTTTTAAACTGTTTCATTTAAGTTTGTACTACTCGCGTTAACTACAGAGAGTATTTTGAAGGCATCTAGATTGCTTCACGGTTTTAGCGAACCTAAGAAAAACTGGCAGAACGTGATAGAATTATTTTGGTTAAGCAGAACACATACGTATGATCATTAGGATTAGCATATGTAGGTTTAAGAACAGAAAATTTTGTCCGCTTTATGCTTTAATGGGCGTTTTAAAACCCATATTGTAAATGTAATATTTTATTTTAGGCTGGTCCCCGTGGAAACTGTCTCGGAGGCGGTAGGAGTTACTCATTCGATGACACTTGGGATGCCATCATCAACAGTGCTTCAGCCGGCCGCGCTGCGTATGTATTTTATACATAAATAATAAAACATCTTTTGCAAATCATTAGTTGTGCGGCTAAGCACAATGGTTTTATAAAAAGCGTAATTCGTGGTGTAGTCCAACCAAATAAAAAGTTAGCTAGTCCACCACATATAGTTAGGCGTTGCTATACTTAACAAACATTTAATTATCTTGGTTATATAATTAACTGCTTAATTTAATTATGATTCATATAGGAACTTTAGAAGTTCACGCAGTGATTATTTGATAGTAGTTTAAATATATTATAACGGGTTTATTACTCAGCTTTTTTACTCACTATACTTTTTTTAATTACTCCATCGTTTGTATACATTTTTATTTATTAATTATTTAATAACATTTTATTTCACATATAAATATACAAAAAAAAACAAATCTTTTAAATTAGATGTATGTGGCCACACACACACACATCATTCGGCTTTAATATAAACCTTTATAGCTTATAAGGTTTAGAATAAAAATTAAATCAAACAGCAAGCATGAAACATAATTTTTTTTTACGGTTGTTTGATATTAGTATACCGCATGTAAAAGGTTTGGAGTTGTTGAGAATTGAGTGTGTCACTGGATGTTGATCTATCTTTAAAACCTTTCAGTCTCTTGAATGAAGAATACTGCGTCGCCAAACGCATGTACAACTCCTTCAACGTTAAGAGTAACACCTTCGGCGCTGCCCTCACAGCCTCCAACATTCCCCAAATCACTCAGTTGGCTCAATACACCGTCCAGCCCTTGGCTCAGGTAAGTATCTGAAGGTACCCTTCGCTCGTCGTTCTTGACGGGCTACACGTGTTTCCATTCAATTTATATGTTTTCTGAAACATGTTGGACTAAACCACCGTCCGCAGGTGAAAAAGATGTGGTTTAATGGCGTTGCGGTTTTACTCTGTGTGATTGTGATGTCCAAAGCCAAAATAGATTCTAAAGCGTGTATAAGCTACGATCAAGCAAACCCTTAAGCTTGTCTGTTCTCTTCTATCACAAAAAATAGGCTATAAAAGTTCTTCTCTGACAATTTCTTTTTTTTATTTTCAGTTCTTGAGAACAGTCGCCTCCGGAGCCAACCCACTGAGAGAAGCAGCAGCCGCCAAAGCTGCTCTTGCTCAAGGCATTTCCAAGATCCAATTGAATCCCTAGTCCCATATATTTTTTTATAAAATAACCCCAATATTTCGACAACACCCCAATCCCACATATATATCTTCCGTATACTGTTAAGAGCTCATATGTATTATATCTATGTTTGTGAATAGAAGTATTTATATAAACAACGAACTGGCTTTCATTTGGGATACCGAGAGTAAAGACAAATAAAGATGTATCTCTCATATTGATATTCGGAGTTTTGTTTTATTTGTTAAGAACCCACGACGTGCCCGTGAATATGCGATTATATAAAGTGCTTCTTTTTTAACCAACACAAGTGTTTCCATTTATTATATCAGGTCGCTCCATATTTTCTTTGTAATTATTAAGGAAAAGTAGCTTAAACTCAACGAGCTATTTTATAGAATAATCTGTAACCATAAATAACCGAATTTAAACAAGAAACTAAAAAATAAGAAATAAAACTTACTTAGCACAAAGTATTGCGTATTTTGTTTAGTTAAATTTAAATTTCATAAACGATAAGTTATGCGCGAACAAACATAAAAATATATACGAATCGAAACTATTTCATTACTGAAGTATTATTGAATAAATTGAATTTATCCCCGTCCATTTTCTGTTAGTTTTTTAGAGAAGTTCTTAATTTTTCGGTGAAATGGGGCGATAGAGTAACGCCGACTTCCACTTAACTTTTACCAAGAAAAATAGTAACAAAGCCTAGCAAGGAAATAACATTACTAGAAGTTGTACTATGATCAAGATTTTTTAATGACAAATGAGGCGGCAAAGCACAGGATTCTCTGATGAAACAGAGAGAGAACAGACGAACTATGTAACATCTAAAAAAAGTTGTGCTGTCGACTTAATTTGTCTTTGGACATTCAGAAATCCAAACTAAAACACGATTACACTTCATAACTGTTACACTGTTATCCGTAGAGGGAATCGAATCCACAACCACGAGACCATCAAGGATGTACATATGTAAAAAATACATTTAAGTGCTACGTAAAAAATTAAGACACTATCGCGACGACTATACATTGATCTGAACCACGCTAAATGTTTCAAGTAGATAATAAACAGAAATAACCTCTTTGTCGTCTATCTACCCTCATTAAAATAACACCCATTTACCATATATCCTTGCAAATTAGCCCTACCTACATCTCGTGTTAGGAGAAGTGGTCTACACGATAGTTAAGTACATTTCGTAATACCAATAAAGTGCTTTTGTAAACAATTCAACGCTCTTAACATTGCGAAATGCGGGCTTCAGTTTCAGACAATTTCTTACAAGCACACGGTCTGCAATGCTTCGGGACCGCCTTCCTGATAAGGGCGTGGTTACAGTGCTAGCGGGAGCGGGATAGCACAAATCATGTGCGTACAATTTGTGACCTGGACGGAATTTGACATATTCCTTCCTCCTATTTAATATACAGACTTTCCGGTGTAGTCAAAAAATATATTATTTGATAGCTGTAGCTACCATTAAACCAATAAACCCATCAAATGTTGGATCTATAAACGCTCTCTCTTAGGAGATTTGTGCTCACTAGTGGTACTCTGGTGCAAATTCGCTATCTCCTCTTCTCTATGCACATGGTATTATTGAAGTTGGTGAGTTTTGAGATCAGTAATAGGGTTGAGATTCAGCAGAGCGTGTAATGTGAGCGCACAAAGAACCTATTGTGGCCGCCTCATGATTTTGATAGCTAACTCCAATTGAGATTAGTGGACCATTAGGTTGTGCTCGCCCAAATTTATAAGTATTGCCTTCTTCAATCTATACTAACATATAAAGCTGAAGAGTTTGTTTGTTTGTTTGAACGCGCTAATCTCAGGAACTACTACTTCGAGATTACTTACTAAGAGAATAATTCGGAGCGAAGCGACAACAGGGAACGTAAAAAAAACTGAGAAATGATTCATCTCTATGGGTTTCCGTTGCAAAATCTGCTCCAGAACTAAAAAAATGTTTGTGATATATGACTATCTTTTATGATAAGCTTGCAAGTACAAGGAGAAGACACGTCGTGGGTAATAGCTTAAATGTATAGAGATGAAGGGGAGTTGTGAAATATTGATGCTCACAATAACTACTCTACGCGGAGGAAGTTGTTGACTCAATAGTGTTTGATATACCAGAAATTTATGAGATTTTATTATTAAAATGTTCCAACGATATTTCGCCTAATTATTCGAGTTTGAGACATCTCAAAAGACCGATGACCACTTTCAAAGCTTACTGGTTAGACGCGTTACCTAGCATTGCACTAAGCACAAGAGGTGCAGACTTCAAATTCCGGGAAAACCATAGCCTGTTACGGTCCTACCAGGGGGAAACGACATTTCAGTCTTTTTTGCCGGCTGTCGCCTCCTATTCAGAATACTTCCCAAGTAGATTAAATTTAAAAAATATAAGCCATTATTTTCTTCTCGCATGAATGGTCTGTATTTAAAAACTTTAACGATCAAGTGCTTTTGAGTATACCTCCAAATCTTCCCAGCTAAAAATGTTGAGCCAGAAATTGTGAGTTTGTAACGCTACAATAGTGTTACGAACTCACAATTTCTGGTATTATTGTAGGCCTTAAAAATACCTATTATGGACTTTAAACCAGAAAATAGAGACCACATTTCGTTTGCATCAATTTGCATTAACAAAAAAAGAATAGTTTTCGCCAGTGCTTACATCTGCCACCGTTTGGCTGCGATGCCAAAAAACATTTTTTTGTAGCACTGAAACCTTTGTGAGCGTATTAAGGCTGTTCAAATTTTAGACAAAACTAAATAAGCTTTTAAATATTTGTCTGTATTCATACAACAATATTTCGTTATCACGTGTATAATAATAATGATGAATGGGTAAGGTAACAAATTTGTAATCTAAATATTATTTTCTATTTGTCTTAACGTAGGTCTCTCATATAGGAAAGAATAGAGAATAGACCCACCACGCTGTCTCAATTTAGGCGGCTCAGACAGAACTGCGGCTAAACGTGCTCTCTGTCATTGTTAGTTTAACTCATATATATCGCGTTTTAAACCGTTAAAATGTTTTATTTAACTGAGTACTACTCGCGTAAGTTATAGACAGTATATTGACCAAATACTTTTTGACAAATACCATAAAGGACATTTGTAAATGACGACTAACAATCGTTCGTTTTTGCGGAACACGAAATAATCAATTTAACGGAAAATAAGAATATGGGAGGTTAGAAAAAAAAATGAAGTGAGAAACAAAAAAATAAATACATTCCACATTCTAAGGTGACTCTTAAACAATGTTCAAAGAAACAAACAAGAAACCAAGACTTATACATTGAGACGCGATGCTATGCATTCGTAATGACTTCGGTCAGGCTTCTTACATTGTAAATATATGAAAGTTCAGGATCATTTTGCTCAGTGCATAAAACAGGAGACTGGCAAAGGATATTCTCTCTTTCGGAGACTATTTATGTTTAAAAGGTAAGAATGTAGTAGATGGTAAGAGAAGAAAGGGTGATAGATACAAAGTCGGGGATTTAGAGTTTAGACATCTAAAATCTATGTTTTTAGGAAACAAGAGAATACACAAGCATGAAGTTTACTTATTAAAGTTGAAATTCTCTAATATCTAATTAAGTGGTTTATCACCCAAACAGATTTTTGAGATATCATTAAAAAAGTCAAAGTTTTGTATATATGCTGGACCCTAGTAAAAAATTCTCGTAGGTAACTAGGTACACTTTTGAACATTAGATAAGTTGAAAACTAATCATGACCCCCCACCGAGCTGATTCCAGCACTTCGATGAACGCTTACGCTTCGTACATTAATAAAATACCTACACTTGTACTTATTGTGTTGTTGTAATTAGTTATACATAATTCATTAAGAAACTTTGTAGACTGCTGTTGTTTTGTAAAATATTACCCTAAATTAGTATACATCTCCGTTATATACGATTTTTATGCACCTACCCTCAAAAAGCCCAATTAAGCCATTCATAAAACCGCGAACAATGTCTGGCAGAGAGATATTTCCCGCGTATTTCAGACATCTTGTAAACAAAGCAACGGTAATAAAAGAAGATGCGAGATGGCTTTTAAGAAAACCGTTTCAAAGGTTAATGTATGCAAGTTTTATAGAGCACTAAAAGAGGGGGTTTCCTTTCGTATGCTTTTAAATGTTACTCGGGATAAATCTCGTTCACTTTGTTTTATGTCTTGGAGCCTTTGCAATCACTCTCCTAACTACAGTGCTATATCCAACGTGGAATCTAGGGTGTCTTGCGTGGTTCAATAACATTACTTTGTTTTATTCTGCGAAAGAACTTATTTTAAGATAAAAGATAATATTTTCAAGTCCAGTGTCTAGTAAGCCATAGACGAAATACTGTCTATAGCTTACGCGAGTAGTACACATTTAAAAAAAACACTTTAACGGTTTAAAACGCGATATATTAGTTAAACATATTTGGAAATGATTCTTAACTTCCGCCCGACGTTTCGGAGGCTTTGCAGCAGCCGTGGTCACGGGGAGACTCTCTCGGGAGAGTCTCGCTGTTTCACTGTTCGATATGTGCAAGTAGTTGATCAAACTTCTAAATTCAAATTCAAGACCTCTCACATTTCTCGCAATGCGGTTAGTACACGAGGTGGTTGTGGCTTCGAGTAGTTAGTTATGGTAAAAAGCGTCATTTTAAGAAAGAAAAATGTAAGGTCAATTATTTAAAAGTTATGCCATGCAAAATATGGTAGGTAGTATAACGTTCGCACGTAATTTTGAAAAAAAAAAACATTTTTTCTCGCCATTCAACGTAAAATGTTGTTTTCTATAGTGTTTAAATAAATATATACTCTTTATGGAGTCCATAGTATCGATCTAGATAATGAATATTACTTATAGTTATATTGAAAAATCGAAATAAATTGATAAAACTATTTATCGGGCAGAGCACGGAACGCTGACTCTGCTGGTTCGTGTCCTGCCCGAGTAGATTTTAAATCATATATTTATATGTATAGTGCCAT